ACAAACCACGAACGAGGAATCCTTGGGAGACGTCGTCGAGATGGTGTTGGGATTCTTTGAGGTGATGTCGTACTTCCAGCACGAACTGCCACTGTGGAAGGATGCATGGAAGATCAAGAGGGAGTTCGAGCAGTCAATAGTGCGACACCTCGCTGGGAACGTGACCCACACGACGGGCCAGAACAGAAAGCGGAACAGACCGTCCGCACAGCTCGGCGTGCCCACGAAGGAGGTGCTTGACATCATGAACAAGGTCAAGCCCAGACATCCACGATCCCTGATCACCGAGCCCTCTGCACAAGGTTCCAAGAGAAAGGCCACGGAGGGCGAAGATGAGGGTCTTGGTCAAGCACCAGACCCGAGTCGAAGTTCTCAAACCAATACTGAGAAGGAAGACAAGAAGCAGCGAGTGATCGACGGGCGGAGAGCGGCACTAGGATTCCTGGAGTCAATGGAGAAGTGCATGGGAGATATGGGGATCTGTAAGAAGTGCGCGAACCTGGCCCACGACGGCGACTGCAAGGACATTGAGGAGGCTGCTGGAAATGAGAAGGCGATGAAGGTGCTCCGTGAGCTACTCAGCAGTGACCCTATTTCATCCGATGAAGACATGGGGGATACGGAGGAACCGTCCTCATCAACGTCCAAGGAAAGAAAGAAAGGAGGGACAAGCAGGGAAAGAAACAATTGAGATGTACAGCTACACTATTAATTTGGTGGAGATGGCTGACACGGCTGAGGGAGGAGAGCTACAATGTGGTGGCGTCGACCTCACCTACAACCCGTGTGGGGACAGCAGGACATTCAAGAAGACGCTTGAGATGGGATGCGACACCATCCCGTGCTACATCCCGAAGTACGGCGACATGAGTGATGTGCATATGCCACGGGCGTACGCGTCTATTGTTGACCCCAGGTACTTTCCCAGAGGTGCAATCCTTGAGCAAGTGGACGTGATGCAACTTGGCAAGAGTGTCAACTTCTGCATTGCTCCTTTCGACGGTGCTCCACTATGCAGGATTGGTGATGATCGCTCGGTGTTTACTACAAGGGACCAAGCAAACCAGCTATCTCACGACCTATGCAGAGTCCTTCGACACAAAATCGGCAATTGCCGAGGAAGTGCTTTCAGGTGCGACGAAGGTGGATGGGTCGACATTGATGCAGTCATTGACGACCGAAACAACGACATATTCCCACCTAACACCTCGAGAGCGAAACGATACATGGGTATCATGGAGGTGATCAAGTGGCAGGAATCTGGACACAAGAAATCGAGATTTCAGGTCCTGGCAGCAAGGTTTCCGAGCATCATGAACCCGAACGACACGAGGGCGGCCAGGGAGGAAATGACCAAAGCTGGCATGGATCGGGACGACATCGACAGGATGTTCAACAGATGCGATGGATGGTACAGACCTTGGTGCATCCGAGTCACAACCGGTCACAGTGATTTTGGATTCATGAGCTCATCCGCACTGGCGAATAGGTATTCCGCAAGAATGGGTGATACACTCGGAGGAGCATTCCATGTGACGTATGTGGAAAACCTGCCAAGCATCGTACGCTGTGGGTTAGTCCCCGGCGGAATCGATGGCGGGAACAGGCTGGCACTGCACTTCGGAGCGTTTGCTCCATGGGATGAGATGAACGTGGCGACGAAGACGACGCTGCGGAACGTGAGGAGAGGGGATCCGATTGCGATCATCTACATTCCCAGTGCAACCCTCGCGCGGTATGGAGCTGGAGTCGCGGCTAATGGGACTTTCATGGTCTTTGACGTGATCCCGTTCTATGAGGTCAAGTCCATTTGGATTGGCAAAAGCAACGGAGGGAAGCGCCTGGAGTACGCTGACATCAAGAGGGCGTACTCGAAGTGTGTGGAGAACGAGATCTGCCCTGGCTTTGTCAACTCTTCCCAAGAGTCGGCTGCGATGTTCCTCCAGAACGTCGCAAAGATCAGCGAGAGGATGCCGGAGACTGAGACAGGTGCCGATAATCTGCACTACATCGTTGACATGGTTAATCGTGCCTGCGAACTCTATCGAAACAACAAGATGGAAGAGTTCAACGCACAGGTCAACGAGGTCCGGGACGAAATCAGCAAAGTCGTCATCCTGAATGATGAGACATGGGAAGGACTGAGGTGCCGGATATGTCCATCATGTGCGACCGCGATCCCCACCTGCTTCTGCTTATGCCTGGAGTGCGAGGCACAACTGATCTCCATCGGAAGATACTACATTCACATCAAATCCGATGACGAGGAGGACAACCAAAACCCCAACGTCTCTGGAGATGCCAGGCGTGCACAGGAAGAAGCTAACCACGATGCGGCAGCACAGGAGGATGAAGACGAAGCGGAGGAAGTTCCGGGAGAAGATGACGACATGGACACGCAAGGATATACATCCGGCTATGCGTCAGAAGAAGAAGACAGCGGTTGGCATTACCGCGACACCGATCTGGCGTCACGGGACATTATAAGTTCCCAACGGATGGCGATCTGCCTTGACGAGCCGCGTGAGGCTCAGTACATGGCAGGATTTATCGCACTCCAGCTGTCCAAGATGTGGGGGATGTTTGAAGGTGGTGAGGAGAGAACGATGAATGCCGGACTCGAAGGGAGGCCGGGCTGCCCTTATCACAATGACTTCAAGAGGTACCCCAACATCACCGATCAGGATCAGGAAGGTATACTCTTACCATCAACAGCGAAGAAAATTTCTCAGTCGGAGAATGTTCGGTCGAGATCCTTCCGATCGGTTGAGGAGCGTGAAGATTATATTCGTATGATGGTGTGCAAATGCGAGGGACTCTACACATTCTACAAGCTGTGGATTGCAGCGAGAATCCTCGATGTCACCAAGGAAGAAATGAAGCTCCTGGTCAAGGACCGAGTGCACCCGGTGGGTGATATTATTTTCAGATGCTTTGCACTAGCTTTCAACTGTAAGTATATATCATTCGTGAGGGATGGCCTGAACCTTGGCAAGAATGGTTACACGGTCAACGTGAGCGCCATCATCTCGGCCATCGACCCGAACAAATGCGACACACCCCTGCTGGATTGGTGCCTTCGGAAAGGGCACTGGTTGCCAGAGGACTACAACAAGAAGTGTGTCCGGGCACGAGAAGCCCAGAAGAACTTGGACGAGGAGTTCCGCCGTCGTACCCATAGGCTGTCCATTGGGGACAGGTATGCTTCGTGAAGATGATGATTGCGGTACGATGTGGGCCAGTCCCCATCTGTTACTTGCGTCACATCGACACTGTTTCGGTGGAACGACTTATGTCATGATTTATATTCATGTGTCCAAGATGATTGGGTGTGTACATGGTTACATATTCCGATGACTATGACGCTCTGGATATTCATGGATGGAACTATTACCTTATAGATGATATCTTTTCATTATTTATGCATTGTCCATGGTATCTGGAATGGCTATGATTTGCATTGATTACTCACCGATGTTTCTTTGCCGGAAATATGCAGACCGATTACAAGCGGGCGCCTCTGGTGGACTTTTGCGGCCAACCCATTTATGGATGACAGCTGCGCGATGCGCAAATGCGGCAGCTGGAATGTTCGTGGCGGTCAAGTGACGTGACGATTGTGTATTATATACACCTGCATATGGATGTGTGCTTCGATTGGAGGATGAATGTTTCACTTTTCGTACAATCGAACCCGGCATGTTTCACAGCGAATGAACGGTGTAGTGATAGCAAGTAAAAGAATGCACGACACGATTTCGTAGTTGAAGCCGTGGCCAGTGGAACGTTTTGTGGTGTTTGGACCGCATGATGAACAATGCGACCCAAATGGGGGATGTTAAAACCCTCTAGGCCCCGTGCCGAAATTGGGTAGCTGTTCTGAGGTCCTTGTTGGTGTTGCTTCCCAAGTTCCATTGATCGCCATTTGGCTCAAGACACAATTGAGGTTCAAGATCTGATGTGTGACTGCGAACATACGTGACGGGCGTTAAGAGCAAAACAACTGCTTGCGCTGCATTGTCAGGACTACTGGTGTAACTATCACTCCTTCTTCCTTACAACGTTTACACGGGTTCGGCTATAACGGCATCGTCCGTATACACCTTTCTACGTGGTTGGTATTAAAGCTTGAGGGTTCGGTGCACAGCGTCCCACGGGACGTCACCTTGCCGTCTCTTGACACAAATAGATACGGGTTCCACTGGTTTAGATGGGTTTAAGATGACAAAACAAATTCCAGTTGGAGCCCATCTAATTGTAACCACTAGCGCACCCATGTTTGTGTGTGCTTGTTGTTGAGGGTGCCCCTTTGTCAGGTTGGTCCCTAACACTTGCTTGTCAGTAGGGAATGTCGGAATGGCCGTTCCGGGTGTTGGGCATCAACCGTTTGGGATTCCCTTCACGGAAAACCACAAGCTCGATTGTGTATGTCGGGGTCATTCCAATTTTCATTCTCTGCGTGTCTCACACCAGCATGCAAACCACCTATTCCAGTCCTATGCCAAGCAACATACTTCCTGGTCAGGTTGGTGTCAAATTCTACAAAACATAAACCCATCTTCCTCCGGACGCAACGGCAGCGAGAGAGAGCGAGAGAAGCCCTTCTTCTTCCTTCCCTAAACCCCAGCACGTCATGGTTCCCTAACTAGATCCCCTAGCAGTGCCCTTTTACATCCTTTCACCAACTTTTTTGGGAGGAGGGTTCCCCTACTAAAATAGACTACAGAAAACAGTTGGTACCCTTGTTCTAACCTCTCTACTGGAGGACCTAGGAAGTAAACCAAATAACATGTTTTGCCTCTAGCTTATGTCGGCCCTTCGCGAATGCACTCCAACCCCTTTATGCGTTTATGGCTCCCTAAAACACCAACGCCACGAGTCGGCCGCCGGCACTTTCACCGAAAACACCGTATTCAGGGGGGAAATCATCCGAAGCCAGGGTTTCTCAGGTGCTGCGAAACGGATGTCGCAACCAGTATGAGAGCGGCCGCCGCTTTCAGGTGATGGAGGAGTTCGACGCCAAGCTCCGCGCCGCCGCCGCCAAGGTCCAGCTCCACGGAACCTCGCCGCCGAATGCGTCGAAGTCGGCGAACTCCACGCCCGAGAACGAGGAGCCGGAGCAGGAGACGCTCGCCCACAGAAAGAAAGCAGAGCTTCCATTTGCTGTGGAAACGGGGTGGTTCCCATATGTTCCCGTGTGTTTTGTTTGGGCAGGTAGCGCAGGTGTATAGACTTCCATTTGCTGAAATGAGATATTTATTTTAGAAAATATGTTCCCTCGTTTGTTTTCAAGGGAATCGATCTCACTACTGGAAATATGTTTTGTTTTTCCCCCCCAGGGGGGCTTAAGCAGAGTTCATGGACTTTGGGCTTCGCCGTTTTAGTGGTAAAGCGGCCACACGGGAAATCTGAAGAGAGGTTCTGATTTCTTGAATTGTACGGGCTTTCGTCGTTGTTTTTGGTTTCTTTCGAGCCACCGCGGAAATCGGAAATCGGAAGGGAAGTTGGGAGTTTGAATCCATTTGCCACTGGGGCAGGCAACCCTGGGTTTCCCAGCCATGTCGAAAAACCAGGTGGAAAATGGATCGAAGGGTTACCTACCAAATCGTAGCGAAACGAATTCCTGGGATCCAGTGGGTCTTGTTGGGGCCGGGGCCCTGAGCTGTTTTTTTTTTTTTCTTTGTTGCGTTGTTCTCTCTGCTTTTGGGGAGGGGTGGTAGCAGGCAGCGGGACCTTCTTCCCGGAGGGGGCCGGTGGTTCATGATCAAAGGCTGCCGCTCTCCGACTTGCCCCAGTTTTTTTGCCGGCCTTGGGGAAAGCACGTATATGAATCCCGAGTTTTAGCCGTTTCTTCATCAACAAACACTGGGTTCTTCAGTAGTGCGAAGGAGGAATACCAACAGAAGCGTGCCCTCTCTCTGAGGAACATGGAACCTTAACACTCGGTGGAAGCAGAAGGCCTTGATGCCGAGCCAATGGCCCCAGTTGCCGAAAGCCAAGCCTTTTAAGTTGTCCGTCTTTTGGACCAGTGGGTTGAGGTAAGCGCAACGAGAGAGCGAACTAATCCAGTCCAATTTAAACATGAATACGCATGGTAGAGGGCATACATCCGTGAACTATGCTTCCTGTTGTGGAGGGCATTGGTTGCATGAATGAAAGTGAGGGACCTTCATCACGTTGCTCGCCCGCGCAAGGTTCAGACACCTGAAAGAGTTGTCTGCATGACAAGCTGCTTTCGTTTGCTCCCAACAAGTTGCCACGGCTGTGCCTGTGCCATGTGGCTTTAGATCAGAGCGCGCAGCAGCAGGGTTTTGATGCCCAACGACTTTGCGCATGCTGGCAGCGATTGAGCCAGAACCAGCAGAGCTTCCGAATAACTGCTGTGCAAGTTTGAGGGACCGCACCAACCTTCCCTATCAAGCCTCCTTTCATAGGCATTCCTTAGTTTCGCCTTCACGCAGGTAATTCACCAACAAATCGCCCTTCAGCATGCGGCATGCGCCAGTTTGATCGACCCGGGTTTTCGCGACTTGCATGGCCCAGGTACGAGACTCCAAACCCGGAGCCTTACATCGAGAGGAAGACCTTCGACATCTCCCGGGCAGAGCTCGCAGATTCGGCGCCCGGAGCGGCAAGCGGCGATTGGTCGGGTCACTGTCCGTGCGGGTTCCGCAGTTTTTTTTTGGGGAATTGGGCCCCTTTCATGGTTGTTGTTGGGAAGCATTTTAAATATTTGCTTGTTGCGGTTTAGTGGGAAATCCCCACTTACAGTAACTGCTAAATGTATTTGTTTGCTCCCCTTCCAACGTCAACCAAGCTTTAGAGCGCCAAGGGATGGCTGTCCTGCGAAGGAGAGAACCTGAAATGAGGGAAGCCACGGTTGCAAAGCCCTCGGCTCATGAACTTCGACGCTGTTGGAATTTCGGACGTGTTTCATTGGCAGTGGGCAAGCATTGGTGTGTAGGAAGCTAATCTTCTGTGCCAGTACGTTCAGTGCAGCATGGGGGAGTGACAGCGGCTTGTCATCGGCGGTGGTTAGCTTGTTCCGGCTTTGTTTCAGCACTTGAAGGCATTGAATCTGTGGTTGCGTTGAGTGAGTGTGTGTGCTGTTCCTGTGGGTGACTTTTGCCACACGCACGCTCGGTTCTTTGCCACTTTATATTTCAGAGCTCCTTTGGCTCTTCGACGGTCAGTATGTCTGACCGCTTGACGTTATCCCTTACAAGCAGTACTTTGTGGGGACATGTACTGGCACCCTGTGGGCCTTTGAAATCCCAGAGCGAGCACCTGGAGATGCTACTTGCAGGGCTCTGTGCAAGTCGACTGGTTGACTTGGACCAATCGGCAAGGGCCCGAGATGATCTCAGGTCCTTTGGAGTTCCCAAGGGCTTTGGTCGGGACTGGGGATCCAAAAGGCTTGGAGGAATGCAATTTTGCCGGGTGTTGGCATTCCGGCCTGGAACACCCCTCTGGAAAATGATCCCAAATAGTTCGACGAAACAAGGGGTACTGGTAGTCAAGACCAATTGGGGTAGTTTTCCGTCAGCGCAAGACCAAGACTTTCAGCGCCTCGCGGGGGGGACAAACGCTGGCTAGCTTGTGACCTGAGGGTTTACAAGGGGAAAACGTTACACTGGGGACTGGGTCATTTCATTTTCCAGGGGCTAACTGGGGAAGCACAGCTGGAATGAGCCCGCCCTGCGTTGTTGCGTGCAGAGGTAAAACTGAGGCGGGCTGGGGATGTTTCGTGGTTTCTAGCCTTTGCTCGTTTTTTCTTAGCTTTCTTCTTTAGATGTTTTTCTGGCTTTTCAGTTTTGCTTCGGTTTCTGGAAGTGTTCGAGTTGTGGGGCCTTTATTTGGCCACTACGTGGGGGCTGCCTACCAGAACTCACGAATCCCCCCATGCCTCGATCGCGGCAAGCGGGCTGAAGGAACTGAGCCTGCAGACCATTGGCTCCATCGCCCGGCGGGTGTCTGCCTCCCTGGGGGGAGACGCCAGGCGAGGGCTCCAAAAACTCGGCGCTCGCCGATCGTCGGGGCAGATCGTCGGGGCGCATTGGACGTGGTTTCAAAGCCTGGGAAAGACCACTTCCCATGGTAAGTGGGTTATGTATAACCAGGCTTGGTTAGTAAGTCCAATGCCCCTTTAAGGACCGTCCCGTTGGAGTTGGTCATTATTTTTTGCCAACAGCTGAAAGCTACGGGATCTTTGCCCAGCTAGGCTCCTTTGGGATGGTTTTCAGGAAGGGTTCAAAAGGAGATTCAGTTCCAGGGTGGGGATACCACCCGGCTTATATGGGTGTGTCACTTGTCGATGGACCCCCAAAACGGTGGTTTTCCTTGGCTCCCCTTTAAACCAACCAAATGGGGGTACCCTCAAAAAGACACCCCAAATGGTTTCTCTTTTCAGGTTGGTTTTTGGTGCGGCAGCCAAGTTTGGGAGTTGGTTGGGCGACCGCCATACACCCATAATTGCGTAGCGAGCTAAGTGGCAATCTGCTCTTGCCATATCCCCGAGAAAAGAAACAAGAGAATGTGTACGTTGCATACTTTTCTCCACAATCCCGGTTTTCTCACCCGCATGCAGACCTTTTTTCAATGCGCGGCCTCTTTGTTGCGGTTAACTAACAACCGATAGCGGAAGGCATTTGAATCACACTCAGATTCGAACCTTGAGTGCCTGCAGGATGACACTGCTTGATTCATGCTCCGTTCGCCATTTTGGCGAATTAGCCAAATTTTTCTTTTCTTTCCGACCTACCTGCCCTGCCTGCTCGACCGCCATGACTGCTCCAGCGAATTTCGCATCCATCGTGGAGGAGTACCAGCTCATGGAAATGACCGAGCTCGACCCGGATTATGAACGACTGTACCGGGCCCTTCAAGACCATCTTTCGATCCTGCCCGAGGCGGTCGGTCCGGGCAACATCTTGCAGGGCAATCAGGTCTGCAACCAGTTCATCAACCATTCCGGCTGCAGGGGACGTGCACCTGCCTCTGCCCACCAGTGCGCCTTTTTGCATCCGGAGTTCGTTGATGCGCGTTGGATGCCGCGAGACAACATCTGTTACCGACATCTTCGACAACAGGCCCGGCATCCAGAAGGCTTTTGCGACAGTGGTGCCGAATGCCGCCATGTTCACAGCGACTCAGTCCTGCATGGTGACCTTCTTGCCTGGCTGCGCTTCGTGCACCATGCCAGACCCAACACCGGCGTGGGCATCCACTATGACACAGCCCACCGTGAATGGCGCTTCGTGTCCAGGCGGGAGGCCTTTGAAATCCTCCGCGACCACCTTCACGGCGAGTGGAACACGCCCATTCACCACATGAACGTTCGGTACCCCGATCCGTGCACCTACCAGATGCCATACGCGGTACCACGTGGCCCGCCAAGCACATTGAACCCGTCTCGCCAACGGAACAACACCCCCCGACAGCAGCGAGGCCGCTCCACACAACCGGGATACTCCCGAGCTATGACACCACCGCGGACCGTCAACTTCGCGACACCCACGGCTCGCGACACTCCCAGACAGGCCCGATTCCCGGAGGCGACCACCACATCGACCGGGCCCGTCCCGCACCACATGCCTTCACCACGCCCGCAACCCACCACACCATCCAAGGCGGCACCCCCCACACCATCCAACCAACATCACGACTTAGTCCAGTGGCTCCAGCCGCCAGGCATCGACCGTGACGACAGCACACAAGGCCTGCTGTCAACCCAGCGCACCGGACACATCCGCGCGCGGGTACACGAAGATGCCACCTTCCTGATCAATCCGGAACTGCTACCGGAATTCCCCTCCGTCCTCGACCACATCGGCTTGCAATGGCACCTGACCAACTACGGCATCTTCTCGCGCACCCCCACCAATGTGTACGGCAATGACTTCGGGGGCCTTTTTCTTGTACCCGTGGAACCAACTACGCAGGTCACACCTCTCAGGAGCCTGCTGCGCTGGATTATCCAGCAACACGTTCACCAACAACTCCAGCTGCTCAACAGCGCCAACCGGCAGCACATGCTACAACAACTGACCTGTTCCTGGCTTACCTTCGGGAGGCAGCTCTGTCGCGCCTCCCGGCGAGACCCTTTTGTGGACAACATGGCAATCACCTTCGGGGAGACCATCATTGAGACAATTTCCAATTTCCTGACCCCCGAACAACGCACCATGGCGACCATCGAGGGCATCCTGCTCGGCCCCGACGGACACCTGCGCTTCAACCGGGAGCTCTAAGACTGAGCAGAGCCAGGACTCCCGCTACTGACCAGGCGGCACCGAGGAGTCTCCAAACCCGCCACCCTAAGTTGACCCACCAAGTCCATGTCCCGTGCGATGGTGGGCCAGCAATAGGGCGATGACCCTCATACCGCACAGGTGACACCCATGCCTAGGCGACCGCCTGAGGCCCCCTTTTCCCGAAGAGAGATCCATCTTCGGACCGCGCAAAAGCGCTGAGAGCCTCGAGCCCGGGTCGACCCTCTTCGTCCCCCCTGTTTGATTCGAGAGGATACCCCTTGACAAACCGACCCACTGCTGAGGCCCATACTGCGGTGACCAATCCCCACTCGCCTGCCCCGAACCCGACCGGTCTTTCACCCCACTTCGGATCCCCTGTGGATTACCCTCGGTTTCTTCGGGTCGGATCCCTGATGACAAACTGGCCGACCCCGGTCACCTTCACACCGCAGGGAGTTGGTCCTACGGGACAGCTCCACCCCTCGGGATGACATTTGTGCCGGTGTGGCGTGTCATCTAACACGACGTTTGTGCCGGTGTGGCGCGTCGTACAGATCCCCCCCATCAACGGGCCATCCTTGGACCCGAGTCACCTAGACACACCCCCCTGGCCCGACCAACCCCCCCCCCCTTTGACTCACACCCGGCACACTACCGACTCCTGCGTGAGTTCGGCAAGCGCCACCTCCAATTCCGAAGGAATTTTCAGGCTGGCTTTTGTGTATCCGATATCGCACCCCCTTCGCACAACATGGCACTTCGCGAGACCGACGCAGTCTGCGAGCTCCTCCTGCGGTCCTACAACACCGGCGTCCTCTCGAGGTTCCAGACCTTCCGCACCGAGAATCCCCGCCTCTCCACCACGGACGCGATCGACCTCTTCATGGAGTCGACCAACACCGAGCCGGACACACGGACACGCTACCTGCTGCTGGACTGGCACAACCTGAATCCAACACCAGCCACACTGCAGTGCTCGTTCTGCCAGATCCCATACCAATCCCAGTACATCATGCCCCTCTGCTTCTCAGAGGAAACCGACTGGCGAAACAAGTGGGTCGGGGCGTGCTACGGGTGCGCTACCTGCGACACCAGTAGCGTGCCGTGGTTCCAGTTCGAGGAGCTCCTGGCCGACCCGAACTCCCTGATTGCAGAACACGCACCGTACAACACCATCGCAGAGCACCCCGACCTCGCGGCCATGATCAGCGACCATACCATCGCCCCACCGACCTTACAGATTGCGGTGCCAGAGACGGACGACGCTCACGACGCCTACATCACCGTGCACAGGTGGGACCAGGTCAACCGCCGCTGGATCAGGGTACCAGCCCTCGACGTGAAGAACCGCCGGCCATTCACCCTCGAGGTGTTCAGCAAGCTGTGCCGACGAGCATGGCGACGCCGCTTGGACTACATGACCAACAAGGCCGTCGGCACCATCCGCACGAACACCCACACGGACATGATGGACTCCTTGCGCGAGATCCACCCCGGAACCTCCAACAACCACCTTCGCCGCCTCATCAGCGACCACTCCAAGTTCCTCGCCGAAACCATGTGCCTCGACCTCATCAACCTGGCACCCGAGGACCGACGAGACCTATTCCTCATGTTCCACAAATGGGAGAGGCAGCACCTCACCGAGGCATTGCGCGCAAACAGCACCGGGACCCTCCTTGAGTTCTTGGACTCTGACGACTATCCCACACACCTCACCGATTTCATCACCCGCGTCCTCCCGTCCACCGACGAGCACTTTATCTGCCGACGTCAGTCGTGCAAAGCGGTGGTACATTCGTCACATTGGCTGCGCGCCACCGCCAACATCACCGAGCACGGCCAGTTCTTCTGTCCCGAGTGCCTCCAGCAATACCACCCCTGGAAAACCTACAGTGACGCCAAAGCCGCATCCCGAGGGGAGGCCCTGACCGCAGCCGGCCAAGACGACACAGAACGCTTCGTGCCGGCCCAGAAGTGCCTCGTGGTACGCGCCACCGCTGGAGCACACGAGACGGACCAATTGGCAGAGGCCATCACCGGCGACGACGACCGGCGCTACATGCTCTACCTTCTTCGCTGGGAGGAGGACACGACCGGCAAGCTCATCCAACAGATGAAGGTCCACATCAACGAGATCGCATCCGACCTGCGACAAGCCAAGGACCCCCGCGCCTATCTGGCCGACATGATCATGAACAACATGCAGACGGCTCAGAAACTGCCATACATGCACAGGACCTTCTGGACCCAAGAGAAGCTGGAGCAAGTCGCCCAGCGCAACCTGGGACGCATCAAGCCACTCCGAGTCGACCTGCTCCCCAGCCAGAAGCGACAACGCCACCAACCCGCCACGCCCTTCTACGACATGCGGCGCTATCGCTACGACCCCAGTTCCACCCGCATCCTTGAGTCCTCAGACCTCGCCAGAGTGATGGGGCTGTGCTTTTGCCGCCTCAAGCTCTGGACCTGCCAAGACCTCGAGGGGGCGGACCGTCTCAACCACTTGAGCGCCCTGTGACGGACCTCGACCAGCACCGCAACCACTACGACCCGAAGGGCGTCCGTGTCCCGCGCGAGCCCGGAGGGTCCGACCAACGCGGTTGCCTTCGCACGACCCATCTTCCTGAACCTGCCGCCGAAGTGCAACCTCGTTTGGCAGTACGTCAGGACACCCGTGCAAAGAGCAAAAGGCGCACCATGTGTTTGAAGCCAAACACCCCTAAATCCCCCCGAACTTTCGCTC